AATGGTGTTGGGAAAACTGTAAATACATATGCAGCAAAATAAATATAACCCCTATCTCTCACCACGCACAAGACTCAACTCAAAGTTGATCAAGAACCTAGGAATTAGACAAGAAACCATGTACTTAATAGAAGAAAAATTAGGCCCAAATCTTCATCATGTCAGATTAGGCCCCAACATCCTTAATAAGACTCCTAAAGTGCAAGAAATAAAATTAAGAATCAATAAATGGGATGGATTCAAACTGAAAAACTTCTTTTCAGCAAAAGAAATAATCAATGAGGTGAAGAAAAAAGAGCCCTCAGAATGGGAGCAAATTTTTACCACACAAACATAAGATCAAGTACTAATCTCTAGAACATATAAAAACTCAAAAAACCTAACACCAAAAAAACAAATAATCCAATCAATGAATGGGCTGAGGAAATGAACAGACACTTCTCAGAAGATGATATGCAATTGATCAACAAATATATGAAAAAACATTCAACATCTCTAGCAATTAGGGAAATACAAATCAAAACTACTCTAAGATTTTTATCTCACACCAGTTAGAATGGCAATTATCAAGAATACAAGCAACAATAAGTGTTGGTGAGGATGTACATTGCTGGTGGGACTGCAAATTGGTGCAACTAATATGGAAAAGTATGGAGATTCCTTGGAAAACCTGAAATGGAACCACTATTTGACCCATCTATCCCACTCCTAGGTTTATAACCAAAGGACTTAAAAATTGCATACTATAGTGATGCAGACACATCAATGTTTATAGCAACACAATTCACAATAGCTAAATTGTGGAAACAACCTAGGTGACTTTCAATAGATGAATGGAAAAGAAATACAATGGAATATTACTCATCATTAAAAGAGAATTATATCATGGCATTTGTAGGTAAATGGATGGAGTTGGAGAATATCGTTCTAAGAAAAATAAGCCAATCCCAAAAAACCAAAGGCCAAATATTTTCTCTAATATGTGGATGATGATCCATAATGGGGGTGGGAGGGAGCATGGAAAGAATGGAGGTACTTTGGATAGGGGAAAGGGGAGGGAAGGGAAGAAAGGTGATATGAGGGTAGGAAAGATTGTAGAATGAGATGGACACATCATTACTCTAAGTGTAAGTATGAAGACACAACATGATTAGTGTGACTCTACTTTTTGTACAACCAGAGACAAGAAAAATTGTGCTCTATATGTGTACTATGAATTGGAATGTATTCTGCTGTTATGTATAACAAATTAGAATAAATAATAAATTTTAAAACACATATGGTTAAAGTCTTATGGAAAGGATAAATTGATAGCATATTTGAAAATCTAAGAGAAGCATACTCGTTGATCTTGCAATTTTACTCTTTTAAATCTGCCTTACTGAACCATTTGCTATAAACACAGAACAAAAAGCCTAAGGATGGATGTTCAATACAATATTTTTTCTAATAACAAAACATTATAAACATTATCAATGCTCATTAATAGAAATGGTTGAGAAATTTACAGTTTGCCTGAAATAATAGGTAGTTGCTACTCCAAGAAAGAAGTATAATTATTGACTTAGAAGCTTATGATATGTTACAGTGAGTAAAAAGTTGTAAAATAGCATATATAATGTGAACTTACAATAGTTTTTTGGTAAAGAATTAGGATATGAAACAGCATCAAATTTGAATATGTGATATTCATATATATCAGAGAGAAATTATCAGTAGTTTAGAACTACCAGTGTTGGAATGTTGGATTATTTGACATTTTATCTTATAAAGTAACTATAGTTACTTTGTATCTGGAAGCAGTGGTCTATAATTTAATTAGAAGGTACTAATACTTTATTTTTCAAACCTATTAAGAGCAACAAATGTATTCAAATACATTACTATTTGCTAAAAAGGTTTTAAAATTCAGTGTGAATGAGAAGGTACTATATGAATGTACAAAGCAATTAGTTATAATAGATACTAATTTGTTACAGCAGTAAACATTTGCTACAATAAAAAAGCTGGGGATAGCTGGAATGTATCCTAAATTACTATTCACTTTTTGAGTAGTCCAAGAAAAATGGGGGTTAACTCTACATTGAAGTAACACTTCAAGGTACCAGGGCTCAAGCCAGACTCTTGCAATGTCTGTCAAAGTAAAGTAACAGATAAATCAAAAATATGTGACTCAGTGGTTGCTGGAAACAGTGCAGGGCTTTCTGCTTGTCCATTTTTCTTTTTTTTTTTAATTATAAGTATTCTGTTTAATAAGATTTCCATAAGTAAACTAAACTGTCATTTTTCAAGTAGGGAGTAAATATTTGTGGTAAATATAAGTAATTGAACAATAATAAGAATATATAAATAGCCCGTACATGTTACAATGAAAAATAGCAATAACTCTATAAAAAAAGGACAATGGACATAAAAACAAAACTTTTAGAAGTGTATATCCAAAGTTTTCATTAACTTAAATAAATAATCATGCTAAGAATAAGAAAAAATGCAAATTAATCATGATTCATTGGATTAGTAAAAATTTGACAAATTTATTTTTTATTATTTCTTACATACATGACAATAGTGGATTGCATTCATAGTTATCAATTCACAGCACAATTTTTCGTAACTCTTGTTGTGTTGAGAATCCACATTTCTTGAAACTAGGAAGTACAGACATGGAGAGGAGATGATGGTTAGATAAATATTATCTATTAAAATTGATATAGAAATTCCTACATAATAATAATTATCTAAATATTTGATTCAGGAGACCAAGTGCTAGAAATTATCAGAAAAGAGATTTATATTATCAACATTTACTAGTAGGCTTCTACAGTGTGTGAGTTACAGAACTGGTGGTCCACATCTATCCTTAAATTTGATTTTTTTTAAAAAAAAGGCACTCATTAGTGTCTTAAGGAGAATAAAGGGGGTTTGCTTTGTTTTGAGTTTTTTGTTGCTGTTTTAATTTTGCTTAAGTTAACTAAGTAGGTAGGGAGTATGTTGGATTCAAATTATTTTTACATTATATTTTTGTTGACTATTGACTTATCAGCTTATTAACTCACTAACCTCTTTGTGCATTATTTTGATTTTCTTGGAATTTCTATTATTCTATAATGTCACCTATGATTAATGCTAAACTTCTTGATATTTTATTAAAAAGTTGCTATAGTTCAGATCTGGAATGCCTGCTAAAGGATCATGTGTTAGAAATTTGTTCCTCAGAGTGGTACTATTGGGAAATGGTGAACATTTTAGAGGTACAGCCTAGTGGCAAGCCTCCTAGTCATTGTCAGTGTGCTCTTGAAAGGAATAGTGGGACCCCACCCCTTCCTTTCTTCTCTGGCTTCTAGTCATAGGGTAAGCAGTTTCTTCTGTCATGTTCTCTCATTATGATGCTTTGACACAAGCCCTAAAGCAATGAGCCAATCAACCATGAACTAACTGAGAGCCAAAATAAACCTACTCTTAATATTATTAAGTATATTATCTCAGGTATGTGTTATGTAATAAAAAGTGACTAACACAAAATATCTACTTCTCATTCCATTATTATGTGTTACTACATTAGTTAAAATCTTCAAAAAAGTGCTAATAGTAGAGGTAGTGGTCAGCTCTTTAAACTTTCTGATTTTACTATTAATGCTCTAAAAGTTTTGCTGCTAAAATTATTCTATTTACTGTTGCATTTGAATAAATAGTCTTCATCACACTAGGAAAGCATCCTTTAATTCTATTTTACATTAAAATTTTAAGAAATAAGAAACTGTCTACTGTCATCAAAATCTTTCTCTTTGGGATCCAAATATTATCATGAAATTTATATCATTCAATGTCTTTTAAAAAAGGAATTAGGCAGATACATTCTGTAATGCTAAAATGTCTTTAAATTTATGGAAAACACTGGCATTTCTTGGTTGACATTTTTTTGGATATAATGCTTATTTCTATGTAAATTTTTATGTAAATGAATGTCTCTATCACTTTTTTTTTCTTCTACTTCTTTTTTCTGCCTATCTTACCAGGCTTCCAAACTGGGATTTATAACACCTTTGGGAAAAAAAAGTTAGAAAACTCATTTCACTATCCTCTTTGGGTAGTTAAATAACAGAGGACTTATCTGTTCCTTAAAAGTAAGATAAGAATAACCTATAAAACCATCTGTGACTGGCACCATTTGGAAATGAAGTTACACTTTTTGAAATAACCAATATATCAAAGGAAAGAAGAAAAATAAAATTATAATTTCTCCAGAAATAAATACAAAGTACAGAATTTCCCATCAAAACAAATATGGCTAAAATTTTAACACCTTTCAATTGTTTTACATATTTATTAGTCTATTAAATTTATGTAAAGTTCAGAAATTTTAGTGATTAATATTATGTTATAAAATCATCAAATTCAAGTATATGACATTCAAATGCATGACGATATAGAGGTGTGAAATGGTTTCTTATATTTTTTAATATATTTTATCACACTTATTTTACCTCTATTAATTCTAATTTTCTTAATAAAATTACACTTTATTCATTTTCTAATAAAACTACCCAAATTTTGTCTTATTTATATTTTATTATCTATTGACTTTGTTGTTTTTCTTTTGCATTAATTTTACTTTGTATTAATGTTTACTAATTTTCCTTCTATTGTCTTTAAATTTAAGTTTTACTTCTTTACCATTTTTTAAGACTTCATTTTATTTTCAATTTTCATTTGTTAATAAGAAAAGCATTATGTCTGTAATTTCTTCTCAAGGAAGTTTCCCCAGGATATATTCTGATTTTTGTTGATTTCAGAGTAATCGTTTCAGGTTTCTTTCCCTTTTATACAGAGCAAATACTGAAAACACAGTCATTTTGTTTCCAAGGGACTTAGCCTGTGTCTTTGCTTACTTGCTTATTTTGAGCTTTTATTAGGTTTTCTTTCTTTGGTTTCTTTCTTGAGCTTGGTGTCACATTGATTATATAGTAATGTTGCCTCCTCTGCTTTTAATTAGTTTACTATTGTCTGATATTATTTATCTAAACTTCCATGAAGGAGAGAATACTTTGACCATAATTTAGGTGTAGGGTTTTTTGTTTGTTTGTTTTGTTTTTGTAATCAGTGTATAGGTGACTCTTATATGACAGTATATCTTTTCATCCAATAATCTAGTCATGTTAATTTTGATAATATGATAACTTTATTTTTCTCTTATCTCATGCTTTTGTTTTCTTTTCATTTTTTTCTCATTCCTTGCTTTTGTTAGATTCTTCTCCTTAAGTATTCTTTTCATTCTCCATAAACAATATGGAATCCTACCACACATCTCATTCATAGCCTATCTTTCCTTTTTTGATAGTCTTTTTTAAATCTAATTATTCCTTCACTCCTTTTCCAACTGACTTTTATTTCATTGAAATTATGTATCATTGAAGTCTTTGTCTATATTTTAGCTTCTGAGAAATTCTTTAAGTAATTCTTAAGTAGTACATTTCTGAAAATTAAATACAATTTCAGAAATTTATATTAGGAAATTTTCTTGAGTTAATCAATGTTGAAATAAAGCCTAATTTTGTTGCTAGTATTACTTAATTTGGGGGGGCGGTCAGGGGTACCCTGAATTGAACTCAGGGGCACTCAACTACTGAGCCACATCCCCAGCCCTATTTTGTATTTATATAGAGACAGGGTCTCACTGAGATGCTTAGCGCCTAGCTGGCTTTGAACTCATGATCCTCCGGTCTCAGCCTCCTATGCTGCTGGAATTAAGACGTAATTTTGTTTAACTATTTAAAGAGAAGCATTATAAATCATTTCTACAAAGTAAACCATTCAGGTTATGAGTTCTAAATAAAAACAAAAATCATTTGAAATGTCTTGTTTGAAGATGAATATATGACATCTAAGAATGTAATCTGAAGTCAAACCTCAATGAGTCAAGGGATGTATTATATTATTTCAACAGAATAGTGGAATCTATTTTTCTTATCATTAAATATGTGAAAGGATATCTTTTCAAAAAAGCAAACATATTTTACAGAGGTATAAAATTCTAACACTTATTTCATCTAAGTAACTACTATTATTGGTTACCCACTGAAGTGATAAAAATGTAATTCATCATTTCTAGTTTCAGGTGCCTACATAGATAAGTTTAAAAGCAAGCTTAGAAAACATTAAATGAAAAGGAAAAACTCAATGAGGTTTACACCATTTGCAATTTACCAAGAGAAATTGTCAGAAGGAGGCAGTCTCTGCTAATGAATTGTACCAAGAAAGGACTTAGATACAGATGGTTAGCGAGATGCCCCAGTAGACTACTCTAGTTCATGTACTTCACAGGCTATTTTCAATGGTGTAAGAGCATCTGGCACCACATTCCTTACCAAATACGCCGATAACTGAGACAAAAAAGCTTTTCTAAATTTCACACTTTGCATACCAAATGGAAAGCCAATCATACCAAATCCTACAAAATACAAAACAAAAAAAAAGAATGGTATATTATTAGTTCAGTGTGTTTCAGTGTAAAAAGTTCTCAATGATAAATAATAACTGTTTTGTAAATAAATTATAAAAAAATTGAGATTAGTTATTACTGTTAAAAAAAAGAGGTCCTTTAAAAATTACTCATTTCAAACAAAGAAGGCAAGTTTCCCATTAGAGATTTCATTTTACTTCTGTGTTCAAACTACAGAGCATATCCTCTGGAAACTGTCCATAGTCAGAAATTTCTGCTCTAGAAATAAAAGCCAACATGTGCTCCTTCGCATATTTCAAAGCACGTATCCTAGCAAAAAATTCATACAAGCAGCTGAGAAGGGTAGAGGATAGAAAACAACTATATGAAACCTAGAAATTAATTTCCAAACAATTTTATATCATTCAAAGAAGGCATTTTGAACTTCGTTCCATTGCTAACTGACAAGAGGATTGCTTCCTTTTGTTAATACTGTTTTGTAGTCAAACCCAGCAGCATCTAGAGACTCATCCTTTGAGGGATTCACACAGCATACTAGCATAGAAAAGTCCTCTAGTGAGTTCCACACAGAATTATAACTGTTTGACCTTACCAAAGTCATTTTATCACTCTGAATTGCAGTTCCTAAATTTCTGTTTTAGTCAGCTTTTTTGCTGCTGTGACTAGAAGAACTAACCAGAACAACTATAAAGGAGGTAAAATTTGGGGGGGGGGGCTTACAATTCCAGAGGTCTCAGTTCACAGACAGCAGGTTCTATTCTTCGGTACTTGATGTGAGGCAGAACATCATGGCAAGTGTATGGTGGAGGGAAGTGGCTCACATGATGATCAGAAGGCAGAGAGAGAGAGACTCCCCTTGCCAGATATAAAATATATTCCCCAAACCTACCTCCTCCAAGCTCAACCTACCCACCTACAGTTACTGCTTAGTTAATCCCATAGGGGATTTATTCACTGTTTGGGTTAAGGCTGTCATAACCCAATAATTTCTCCTCTAAACTTCTTGCACATGAGCTTTTGGGGACACCCCACATCCAAACCATAACAATCCAATATAGAAGAAATAAAGAGGAGAAGACCAGTTGAAATATTTTATCTGAAGGATGAATATATGGCAAATAAGAATATGAGTTTAAAGAATATTAGGATCTTCTTCTTCTTTATCACAAGCAAGATTTTTCTCCTTCA